GATTAGTCCTTCCCTGACCCACTGTGGGAAACCTCCAGCAGGTGCCATTTAACTTTTTTTTTTAAAGTAAACTGTTAATTTTAAATAATTTTAGATTTATAGAAGAGTTGCATAATTAGTAGAGAGTTTTGCATACACTTCATCCAGTTTTATATAACATTAACATTTTATATAACCATAATACTTATCAAAGCTAAGAAATTAAGATTAATGCATTACCATTGACTAAAATACAGAGTTTATTTAGATTTCAACTGTTTTTCCATCAATGTCCTTTTTTTTTTTATTTTGAGGAAGATTAGCCCTGAGCTAACATCACCACCAATCCTCCTCTTTTTTCCGAGGAAAACTGGCCCTGAGCTAATATCCGTGCCCGTCTTCCCCTACTTTATATGTGGGACACCTGCCATAGCATGGCTTGACAGGCAGTGTGTAAGTCTGCACCCGGGATCCAAACTGGCAAACACCCAGGCTGCCAAAGGGAAATGCACAAACTTAACCACTATGCCACCAGGCTGGCCCCTCCATTAATGCCCTTTTTCTGTTGCAGTATTCATTCCAGGCTATCATGACACATTTAGTTGTTGTGTCTCCTTAGTCTCCTCAAATCTGTAATAGTTTCTTACTCTTCTCTTGTTTTTCATGACCTAGAAACTTTGAAAGGGTAGTGGTCAGGTATTTTAGAGATTGTTTGATTGGTATTAAATTGAATCTATAGATAAAATTGGAGAGAATTTGACATCTTCACAACATTGATCTTCCTATCCATGAATATGGTATATATACTCCCCATTTCTTTAGGTCATTGGTTTCTTTCATTATTGTATTATAGATTTTTGCATACACAGTCCGCACACATTTTGTTAGATTTATACCTGTTTTTCTTGTCTTTGTTTGTTTTTGGTGCTGGTGTAAATGATAGGTTGGTTTTTTTTTTTCCTCCAAATTCCCATTGTTCATTGCTAGTAGACAGGAATACAATTGACTTTCATATATTGACTTTGTATCCTGCCATCATTACAGTCAGTAATCTTTTCAAGAACTTAAAACTAAGGGAAAATAATTAATTTACCTTTGCTTATTCCATTGCTGATGCTCTCCACTTCTTTGTGTATATCCAAGTTTCTCTCCTACATCATATTCTGCTTGAGGAATTATCTTTAATGTTTCTTCTAGAATAGGTCTGCTGGCAATAAATTCCCTGAGAGTGTTGTGTCTGTGTCTGAAAAAGTCTTTATTCTTCCTTCACTTTTGAAGGATATTTTCACTGGGTATAGAATTCTGTTTTGACATATTTTTCATTCAACATTTCATGTCATTCCATCGTCTTCTTGTTTGCATGGATTTTGACAAGAAGTCTGTTATATTTCTTATCTTGCTCCTCTCTAAGTAATGTATTTTTTTTCCTCTTGTTTCCTTCAAGATTTGTTTCTTTGTCTTTAGTTTTCAGCAGTTTGAAAATTGCATCTAGATGTGAGATTTTGTGGGTTTTTTCTTTTCTTTTTTTTTTTTTAGTGCTGCTGGATGTTCTCTGAGTTCCTTGGTTCTGTGGTTTGGTGTCTGTCATTAATTTTGGAAATTTCTTGGCCATTAGTTCTTCAATCATTTCATCTGTTCTCTTTTTCTTCTGCTTGTAGAATTCCAATTACATCTATGTTAGAATGTTTGATCTTCTCCCACAGTTCTTGCATGCTCTCTTCTATTTTATTCACCCTTTTTTCTCTTTGCATTTCAATTTGGGTGATTTCTGTTGATCTCCCCTCAATAGTCTTTTCTTTCAAGTGTGCTCATGATCCCATCAGAGGCATTCTTCACCTCAATACTTTGCTTTTGATTTCTATCATTTCCATTTCATTCTTTCTTAGAGTTTCCATTTCTGTGTGAAATTACCTATCTGATCTTGTATGTTATCTACCTTTGCCATTAGAGCATTTAACATATTAACCATAGTTAATTTAAATTCCTTGTCTGTTAGTTCTAACATCCACATTATGTCTGAGTTTTGTTGTGATGATTGTTTCATCTCTTCATGGAGTGTTTTTCCTTGCTTTTTTTTTTCGGTATGCCTTATACTTTTTGTTGAAAGCTGAATGTGTCATAGATGGCAGATACTGAGGTAAATATTTTTTATTCTTGGAGAAAAGCATAAAAAGAAGAAAAAGCCTTTTCTTCTCTAGGCCTATAATATGAGGGTTTTCTGTTAATTTAGTCAGAGTTTGGGCTGGGTTTAAAGTTGTTGTTGCTATGGGAACGCTCATTCCACTAGAGGCTTCAGATCCCTCTAGTGATGTGTTAATGGTATGGGATAATTTTCCAGAGAGTTTTCTGTTCCCACTTGTCTTTGAGTCCCCCAACTTGTCTTTGGTCTTCTCTTTGCATTGCTCCCCAGAGGGGATCTGTAACTTTTGCAGCTCCCCCACTGTATCCCTCAGGCATTTTTACTCACTGGTTCTTAGCATGGGATGGGGTATGGGGACAGAGGGCATTCTCTTATGTTCTGATTAAGCCTCACTCTTAGGCAGGTCCTGTGACCCTAGGGCTTAAGGATGTGGCCCTTACAAGTGTTCCTGCTCCTCCTCTACATGTCATGCTGGTCTAGCATATATTCCTGTCTCCCTCTCAGGGATAGAGCATCCTCTACCCTGCTTCCTTACCCTGTCTGTTCCAGACAGGCAAATGCTTGCTCCTCTTTTTCCCTGGAGGTACCTGTCTCTTTCTAGATTTTGGGTCATTTGCCCTGCAACCCCACGTCTCTGACAGGTTCAAGAAAAGTCATTAGTTTGCGCTTTGTCCAGAGGTCTGCTTGTTGTAACAGTAGGAGTGATGTCTTTCCAGCTCTCTACATGTAGGAGCTGAAACAAGAAGTTCACTGTAACCGCTTTCTGCCATTTACCTTTCAAGTCACTCTCAGAAAAATAAACAGTCCTTCGCTCCCTTTAATGCCCCAGATAATGGCCAGTTCAGAAATTAAACTCTCTGGTAAAATGTAGTGGAAATGCTCTTGAAGTTAGTGGTTCTGCCTCGCCTTTTCGGGCTTGTGTTGAATGGGGTGTCTGCGGTGGGGGAGGGGATTGTGGCTGGCTTCTCCTCTGCTGCCCCACTTTTGTCTCTGCTCTCTCTCTCCCCTCTGGCCATGGGTCTTACTGAACCCTCACAGCGTGGAGATTTAGGGAGAGGGGAAGGAAAGGTTGGCTAGGGTTTGGGTGGGGGGAGGGCTACAAAGAAAGGATGCAGGAAAGTTCTTACTTGACTAGTACTTTCTTGAACTGGCATAGGTGTTTCAGGTGACGTTCTCTTGTGAGAGCCCTGCCGAGTACTCCTGAGACCCGTTCATGCTGGGGAGTCTTCACCTACAGATCCCTCAATAAGGAAGAAAGCATCTCCTCTAGGCTGTAGGTCCTTCTGTCCCCTTCCTTAGCCCCCAGGTTTTAGGTGCTGTGCTTCTGACTTCTCTCACTCTTCAGGCAGTTCTCTTGGGCAAGGTCTAAGACAGTGTCAAATGGGCTCTCACATGATCCCTGGGAAACTTCCACCCCAGCAGACCCATTGCCATAGGTGGCAGGATAGTTCATGAAAAATGGCAGCTCCACCCTGGCAGGCACTTGAGCCAGTCTCTTGGCCTTAACTTACTCTAGTGTGAGTTGGACACCAGTCTTCTCTTTCCCCCCAGACTTGCCAGGGACACATATCCAAACTCTCCCAGGGTCTCCTGAAGCCCCTTTCACTGACTTGAGGTGAACTGGGGTCAGGGTCAGACTCCCAGCATTCTGACAACTTTCTCCAACATTTTACTTCTAATCTTCTGCTTTTGGGGTGCTATTTTCCCCAATCTCCTTCAGGTTGGAAATTTGTGATCAGCTAAAAGTTGCAAAACAAATTTTGACATCCAGCCTTGTAAGTCCTGTTTTGAGCATCTTGTGCTGTGAAATGTGGAAGGAGTCGTTACTTAAATTTCTTGGAATCTCTGTAGAAACTAAAACAGGACGAATCCAGTATTGACATCCCCTTATCAGCACTTGTTCTGTTTAAGTGAATAGATGCTTTTGGTAACTGATTGCAGGACAGTACATTTTCTCTGTGTGTTTTTAGCGCTCGTAACTTCCTAAGATACTTCGAGTTTAAGATACTGAAGTTTACATTTGCTATTTCAAAACTCAAAATACAACGTGATAGTAAATCTTAAGTGGCCAAAGGAAAGATATTTTTGAGGGACATAGATACAGTCTTTTGATGTAGTGACACTTTGTATCAAGATAAGCGAGCATGCTTCCACGTGAAGACTTTTTTTTTTTTAAAGATTGGCACCTGAGCTCACAACTGTCGCCAATCCTCTTTTTTTCCTTCTTCTCCCCAAAGCCCCCCAGTACATAGTTGTATATTCTAGTTGTGAGTGCCTCTGGTTGTGCTATGTGGGACACTGCCTCAGCATGGCCTGATGAGTGGTGCCATGTCCGCCCCCAGGATCCGAACCTGCAAAACCCTGGGCTGCCAAAGTGGAGTGCGCGGACTTAACCACTCGGCCATGGGGCCGGCCCCCCACGTGAAGTCTTTATGGCTAAGGTGGGATATAGAAGCGGAGCTGGAGTCAGCAAACCTCAGCATTTTAATACAGCTCTGTCATACTTTACTCAGTGTCTCTAAAATAATTTTTGTGGAGTTGAAATATATCTTAATATTAATGGGCTTTTCTTTTTAAATGTATTCTACATTGTTCTTTCTATAAAGCAAAGACTTATTTGATAAGGTAAATAAGCTCTCTCTCTCTGTCCCCTCCCATTGATCTTATGTGTAAATCTTAATTCTTAGATTCAGAGGCAACATGGTCATAGTTGAAAGGGCACAGTTAAAAGATCCAGCTTCAGAATCAGAGAGACCTGGATTCAAATTCTGGCCAGGAAAGGACTCCTAATCAATCAGAATGAGTCCACAGTCAATCAGAAGGAATGTCTGACTAATCAGAATAACCACATGACCCATCAGAGAGCCTGTGCTGTGCTGACCTGCTGGGCACCATCCCTTCTTCTCTCCCATCCCAGCACTGGAAGTCAGCCTCTCTGAGCCCCGGTTTCCTCCAGATGTGGGGTAATAATCTCCATCTTGCAGAGTTGTTATGAGGATTAACCAAGGCAGAGTGGTTCCTTGCACATAGTGGGCCCTCAGCAGAAGGTAGCTGCTATTATGACATCGTTGGATGTTACGTATCTCCAAGAGAGAAAGAGCATGCTCCTTCGCTGCCTTGTACTTCAGGGTGCCTTCCCTTGAACTCACATCTTTTTGGGAATTGATTAATTGATTAGAGATGTGAACTGTATCTAACGGAGACATTTCTCTGTTTTCCAGCCACAAATCTTGAGGTTATTTCCTCCTTTTTTATTTTGATTATAAAACAGTGAGAGAATACAGAAAAATAAATGTAAAATCACCTGTAATCCTATCATACAGAGTTAACCACTGTCAACTTTTGAAGTATACCCTTCCACGCTTTTTTCTGTGAAAATAGACACATCTACAAGAATGGCATTATACTAAATATAATGTTTTATAACTTCCTTTTCACTTAACGTTATCTCACAAACATGTTTCCATGTGAGTAAATAACGCCATCAAAGAATGCCATTATGTGGATTTTCCAAATTAAGTAAATTTGGAAGAATGTTCATCGATGGACATTTAGATTACTTCCAGTGAACTGCAGTGACCTGCCTTTTGTGTATATCTTTTCATACATACAGTTATTTTCTTAGAATTCATTCCTAGAAGTGGATTTCTTGGACAGAGGGAATGCAAATTTTAAATAAGGAAGCATATTGCCAAACTCACTTGGAAAAGGCTGGTCTAAGTTATACTCCTATTAAAGCATTTGTAATATCCATATCGCCACATTTGGGAGTTTTAAAATAAAATTTCTATATTCTTTGATAAGTAAGAACACTTTCTCCCTAAAATCAAATAATATCTTTTTAAAATTTCTTCATAGTTAAATTTTTTTTTAAAATCTCCATTATTTAAAAAATAAACAAAAGCTTTTAACCGTATGCCAAGTGTTTGTCATAGCAACTCTTAAAACTGTATTTACGAGAGTCGTGGTAGGGTCTTAAGTATCATTTTGGGGAACCGTCTCTCTTTACAGATGACACAGTGAGGTCTGAAGTCAGAGGGTTGAGAGAGAAAGAGCATGGGAAAGGCCCGCTGTCGATTTTCCCTTCACCTGCCTTCGTGCCTCGGAAGAGTCATTGCTTCTATTCCTAGAGGAAATACGATTTTTCTCCTCACTTCAGGGTTGCCCCGTGACACTTAAATTTTTTAAATGGAAGTATAACACACGTACAGAAAAGTGTAAAAACCTCAGCTGAATGAATTATTACAAAGTAAACACACCCATGTAATTGCCACTCAGGTCAAGATCAAAAAAAATATTTCTAACATTTTCTAATACAGATGATCATAATGAAAAATGTGAAGTTGTCCTGATGAGTCCTTGGATGACAACTTGTATATGTTGTCAGTAATTCCTCTTTGGGGATCGTACCCACCGTCTCCCTCTTCTCTTCTCCGGGCACAGTTAATTCTCAGTGTTCTCTGTTTAGTACCTTGCCTAGTTTTTCAATTATCCACGGCATCAACAAAGCTTTTCATATTCTTACTCTTTGACAGTGAAACCAAACCAAGAAATTGTAAGGGCGAAACACTGTGGCCTGCAGAGGGGGTGACTGAGAGTGCATGCTGGTCTAAAGCCAAATGTGAATGGTTTGGCACGGGTCGTTATTCGGCACTGACCTTGCAGTTACTAGATAAGGGTGGAGGTACAATAATAAATCGGATGGTTTGCAGCGGAGAAGCTTGCAGTGATTTAGAAGTGCCTGGAAGGTTATCAGGTGCAACAGGTGGTAAGCGAGGCCCGGGGGCCCAGCCACTTGCCCGGGGACACAGAACTTGGATGCAGAGGCCATAGCCCTCCTGACCCCTGGACCTCATGCCCATCCCAAGGTGCCAGGCTGCGCCTCAGAGTTTGGGCAGAGAAGAGCCGGTCAGCCTCACCTCCCAGCAGCCAGCAGCCTGCTTGCAGCTCTGTGCTCAGGCACCACTCCTCCAGCCTCTCTCAGCCATTCCCTGCGTGTTCAGGATGGACAGACACCTGGTTTAATCTTGTTGTTCAGTCAATAGCTTTTGCATTATCTTTCTTTTTTGTGATTAATGTACCATTTTTCTTTTCTTTTTTTCCACTACACAAACACCACCATGCCCGAAGTGCTTCCCCTGCTTGTAGAGAAGTTATAGCCTGGTCTGTAGCGGAACAGTGCTCTGATTAAAGTGATTAAAACTATATACAGCATGCATAATTAACCTTTGCACAGGCTGTCACGGCAAGCTGATGCATGGAGCTGATACTGTATCTGTCTGTGGCAGCCAGCGTATGCTACATGACCATTTTTTTTTTTCCTGCAGAATTTTAATCACTTGAGATAAAGAGCCAGGAGAGAGAGATCAAGGCTGTATTAATCCTCTCAATGGCTTTATAATTTCCCTTCTATTCTGCTGCTGGTAATCAAGAAAAATAATGCTGCCTTAATCCTAGATGCCAAGGTCAATCATCTCTGTGCCCTTTGATAGCAAGGATATCATTATGAAAAGATTCTAATGAACGTAATTCTCACTGTACTCCGCGGGGAGAGGAGTGTGTTCCACGACTTCAGGGAGGCTCAGGCGTGCCTCGATTTCTGGCAAAAATGATTTTAAAACATTAGCTCTATTAGAAATAAATTTCTAACAGCTGGTTGGAGCCAGACCAGCTGCACGTAACAATGAGAGACCAAGGAATTCAGGCTTGAGCCTCAGCAGCCAGTCACCAGGTGAGGAGGGCCTGAGCCTTCAATGTGCAGTTGGGCCGCACGGCCAGCTGCAGGCGGCCGGCGCAGCAGGAACACGGCCCTGCGCACACTCCAGCGCCTCCCTGAGTGCTGCCGAGATCCGATACGAGTGCAGCGATGCACAGATGCCTGGTGACATTTTAAAACAATGCCCTGTTGTTTTTTTTAAGAACATGCAGACAGGTGAAAAACAAAAATCCTTTCATCTCGAAAGCACCTGAGCTAAACCCCAGCTGGATGCTTGCTGATCCTTCCACCCACTCCCTCTCTTATTTGGTTTTCCCCAAAACGTGTCCCATTGGTCAAGGTGACAGAGCTGACACAGCGCTGCCAGAAAGACACAAACCAGGGAGCTGAGAGCAAAGCGCCGGTGCTGAGGAGGTTTCCGCTCCTGCTGTGCTGCCCGCCGTGGTTCTGAACGACGGTCTGGCAAAGCAAGATTGTTAGGAAGTCTTCGTGCATCATGGGTCGTTTATCCTGGTGAAGAGAAGGCTGAAGGAGGCCTTGAGTGCAGACTTCACATACATCTGAGGTTACTGGGATGGTCAGAAAAAGATGGGTAACTAGCTGGCTAGTCACCCTTGAGAACAAAAGAAGAGAGAGAACCTCAACTCTGGAAGACAGGATTGCCGTGTGATTCAGTGGGGAAAAAATTCTGAAGTGAGCCCTCACAGCCAGAGAGGTTAATAGAAATGGTTCATTTATGTGTCTTTAAAAATGGGTTCGGTTTACCTTCTCTTGAGTGGTGCAGTTTCCCTTCGCATTAGGGGATGGTCCAGGGAAGCCTGGCACTCTGCTTCCGAGATGCTCTGGAATTAGCAGGCAGGGGTGGCGTAGAAGATGGCCTGAGATGCCCTTCCACCCTGGGGTGGTGCACGCAGGTTGGCCTCGAGGTGCTTAGGGTGCAGGTCAGGGCCAGTGATAAACAAGAAGACCCTCTTTCTCTCACAGGCACCCTTCTCCCAGGGCTTCCATCTTTCTTCTCCCCTTTGCAATCTGACCCCAAACACTGATTCTGTCCCCCTAGAACTTATGCTTGAACTTAGTAAATACTTCCATTTGGATTCGACTCATTTAGAATTTATGATTATCTGAGCTGACCTGGGATGAAATTTACCCTGCACCATCTATGAGAAAGGCTTCATCTATGTGAAGCCAATTTAGAGTGTAAATAGCATTGAAGGGGGCATGTTCTGCCTACTTACATGAGCAAACTATTTTTAAGGACTTAGATACCACTGATGTCACTATTTACAAATGAACCTTCTTTTTTATTAAAGCAGTCTTGGCAGGAGGAGAACCACTTTGTTAGCAATTCATCTGAGCAGTTGGAATGAATGAAACTGAACTTTAAGAAAATGTTCTGTAGTTTAGATTTTCTCTGCTTCTTCTGAGTTACTATACTCTATTGATGCAGAAAACAATTTAGGCAGACATACCTAAGAGATTGTTCTGGCTTTTGTTCCCTTCAAATGTAATCTCAGTAATGGAGCATTTCCATAAATCAGCACAAGTGTTGACTGGAAGGGCCACACAAATGTGATCTTCATAAGAACCTGGAACACTGCAGCTGCAGCTCTGAGTCCCTGACATGACTCACGAAGTCCATAGGCTTTTCTATGGAGTTCTATGGCTCAGGGGGCTTGGGAAGGTGCTGAGAGGACTCCCAAGGTTAAAGCAGATTCCCTGAGTGGTTAGTGGGCAGGACTCCAAGAGTGTCCCCCCCACACACGCTTCATCCAGAGTGCCCCTTTCCCTGTTTTCTACATTGAGTTTCCTCCTAAGATTTCTTTTGGGAAAAAAATGTTCCTTGAAAGTTTAAAGACTCATACAGCGCTCTTTGTATAGTCCTTTGCTCTGTCTCAAAGGAATTTATAGAGGACAAGGCTGGTCTCTTTAATAAGAGCCTTAAGGAAGGGGTGTATCTGAAAGATGAAGTTCTTCGGGTGTCTTTGTGAGTCTGTCTTCCACACATTAATCCGGGGGGGTGGGGTGCCTTTGCCTGAAGCTCTTTGTCATTTGAGGCTGCCTCAGTGCAAAAAGGAGTTCCAGAAATTCCCCCTGAAGGGTAACCAGGGAACTAGGGCACTTGGGGGCCAGGGGAAGACTTTGAGGACCTCAGATTTTGAAGGCCTTTCGTCTCGTTTTAAGAAATGTAGACTTCACCATGAAGACAGAGCCAGAAACCTGAGGGTTATTCTCCAGGCCTCTTTCCTGTTGTCTATCCAGTAGTGATCACCCTGCTTCACAGGCCGTCTTGAATCAGGTCCCTCCTCTCCACTCCCTGGCTCTAGTCTGCACCGCCATGCAATGTGTTCATGCTTCTGCTGTCTAGCATCTTCCCTTTACTCAAGCCTCCACGTGGCCTCAGCAATTCTACTTTTAAAACAGATACAGTCATGTCACCACCCTTCAACGTCATCTTTGTTGGTTCCCATTGCCAGAAGATAAGGTCCCAACCTCTTCACAAAGCTCTCAGAGCTCTTCACAAGGTATGCAGATCTCTTCACACAGTCTGCAAAGCTCTACAGTCTCGTTCTAAGTGATTTCTCTGTTTACAGCGTTTTCATGGCTGTGCATATTTCATGTCCTACTAGATTGAGGCATATCAGGGGCTCTTGCATTTGAATGCCCTGTGCCTAACACATCAAAGGTGTTCAGTGTGTTTGAACTGAATCCACTGGAAATTTTACTTTATTCTTGTTGCTGTATATTGACATTACAGACCTTCCTTGACTTACGATGGGATTATGGCCCTATAAACCCATCGTGAGTTGGAAATACCACGTCGAAAATGTATTTAATACCCCTAACCTGCCGAACATCGTAGCTTAGCCAGCCCACCTTAAACATGCTCAGAACACTTACGTTAGCCTACAGTTGGGCAAAATCATCTGACACAAAGCCTATTTTATAATAAAGTGTTGAATACCTCATGTAATTTATTGAATTCTTTACTGAAAGTGAGAGAAACAGCATGGTTATGAGTACAGAATGTTGCAAGTGTTTTGGTTCACCCTCTTGATTGTGTGGCTGCCACCAGCCAGCACCATGAAGGAGTATCGTGCCCCATATCACTAGCCCAGGAAAAGATCAAAATTCCAAGTATGGTTTCTACTGTGTATATATTGCTTTCACACCATCATAAAGTCGAAAAACCGTAAGTGGAGCCATCATAAGTCGGGGACCATCTGTGCTATGTGCTGGGCCTCTGACATTTGGGCCTACGTGTCTTTTTAACTCCTCACAACAACCTTAAGGAGTAGGAGTGGTTACCTCCATTTCTTAGATGAGGAAACTTAGTCTCTGGGAGATTGAGTGCCTTGCCTAACTTTATTTTTTTGTTACTTAACATCCTTTCAACAAGCAATTTGTTAGCACCTATTGTGTGCCAGGCCCAGCCAGGTGCTGGGAACACAGCTGCTGGAGGCTGAGGGCAGTCCCCCCCTCAGGAGGCTCACAGGCTGTAGGGGGCCGGGCACCTCCCTCAGAGGGATGAATCTTACACCGGGGGAAGCACAGAGCACACAGAACTCACGGGAACATTCCCCACTTCATGTGAAGCCAGCATGGTTGGTCTCCATAAATAAAATGCATCTCTGGTGTGGCTCCTCGGAACTTCCAAAGAAAAAGATGACCCCCTCCTCCCCCCGGAAGTCATTACAGAATAGTGATGGGGGCTTCCCTCCTGAAGAGCAGACCTGGGCCTGAGGCCTAGGACTAGGGTAGCTGAGAGCTCACCTCTCACCTCTTACCTTACTCCCTGCCATTGGCCCTTGTCACTCTGAGTGGGCAAATTGGAAAGGGAAAGGGTGGGGAGGAAGTTGTCTCCCTTGTCCACCTGGTCCCCCAGGCTGCTCTGGCAGAGCCCCTGGGGTCTGCTCTGGTGGTGACGGGAGGGTGGGTCAGGTGTACCTGAGCCTGGACCTGCCCACACGTGAGGCTGCCGCACCTCGATTGGAATGCAGTGTGTGTGTACAACACCAGGAATTTGGATGTGGTGACCTGACATACTGGGTTGTGACAGCCCATGATGGCCGGTTTCCAGGGAGAGCTATAAATGAACTGGCAATTACTGGGGCTGGCTGCTTTGTGGATTAACATATGTAGACTGGCTGATGCCTTCGGACAGAGTTCCCTGAGTACAGTAACTCGGGGCTGACTACACGGGGCCTGGGGTTGGAATTTACACATGACACACATTGCTCACATCTTTTAGAGAATGCAGTGCAGACCTCAGGTGACTATCCTCCTTACGCTGTGTGTTGATTATGTGTAAGCTTTTTCTGCAGATATCACTTACTAAGAAGCTACAACGGCTCTCTGCTGGAGGTCTAGGTCAGCTCAGTCTGTCGCCCCAGGCCACTCGTCTCTGGCTGCCGCTCCCAGCCCTTGCCCTTAGCCCCGGTGCGTGGCACTGGGTGGCATTTTTGTGTGCCTCTGTTTTCTCTTCTAAGTTGGTGAATGCTGTGGCATCTATTATCATATCTTTCAACGAACAAGATAGATGCTGCTAAATTATTTAGTTAATTCCTGGCCGACTTCATTTCCCTTTATTCCACAACGCCAACCTTCATTAGTTGTAGAGTCTCACTGAAGCCTTTCCTCTCTCTTATTTCCTCCTCAAGTTCATAAAAAATAACGATGATAATGATAAAAGCTAACGTTTATTAAGCGCTTTCAGGAGACAGGGCACAGGACTATGCATTTCACATGCTGCTTTGTTTCGAATTCTGCCACTTACACCCTCAGCTGAGTTCTGAGTTTTGATTGTCCCAGGTGTCCCATGAGACAAAGAGTTCAGTACAAGTGGTTTAGTTAGGAGGCAATCCTGGGACAGGAGTGGCCTGTGACACAGGGAAGGGAAGGCAGAGGTTTACTGTCAGACAAGACTGTGGATGACTGGAGCTTAATCTCTCCAGGGAGCTATGGACCCAATGCAAACAGGTGCTGTGTAATCATCTTACCCCGTGGGTGAGGGAGGGAGCTGGGGTGTTTATACAACAAGCCCTAGCAGTCATCCTTTGTCTGACAGCTGCACACAGGGGAAGCTAATTCTCTAGCACATCTGGCCACTGTGGATGAAGGCAGAGCAGGCTCCAGCCACCAGAGAAAGCTATCAGGCAACGAGATACAGATGCTGGCCACAGGAAGTTGGTCAATGTGTGCTACCGTTGTAAAACCAGAGAGGAGATAGGCAGATGTAGGGGAGGAAGACAGTTCCACTACCTACTGTGGATTCTTCTGGCCGGAGAATGAATTAAATTCACATGAGACAGAATAACAGGAGAAAATTAAGCAAAGCTTTATAACATGTATACATGGGAGAGGCTCAGGCAAGCTGAGCAAGTCGCCAAAATGGCTGAAGCCACCACCTTAAATATCATATCCAGCTAAAGACAAAGGAGGATGTTAGGGGTCAGGGGAGTCAGTTACAGGAGGTTGCCAGACGAGCACAGTAAACAGGAATAAGATTATTATGCAGATTTAAGTCCTTGCATTCTGTATTGATAAGAGTGTCCAGAGATAAGGTCATCCCCCTTCTTCCTGGTACAGAGAGGGAGACACCTTTACAGATGGAGATTTCCCTTACAAATGTAAATGTCTCTTAACAAAGGGTAAGTAAATTCTACTTTTCAGTTGCTTTCCTGTCTGCAGTTTATTAAAAGTAACCACCCCCAAACAATCATCATGCCAAAGAGACATATCTTGGGGTGGCCAATTCCAGGCCCCCACACAGACGTAAACAGAATCTACTGCATCAGGTCATCCTCTTATTTTCATTTGACAGATAATAAAACTGAGTCTTAGTGGACTAAGTAACTTGCTCCAGATAACATTTCTAAGTCCTTTGCGTTCTTCCCTCTGTGGAAAATCCCCTTCCTTCCTGCCAATCCAAATATTTAACTTGCAGTGTGGTTCAACAGTTTCTGAGTGAGCTTGGTACCTGCCTCTGTCTGGGCTGTGTGTCTTTTCCACCTGCCCTGCCCCAAAAGTTGGCCCTGGAAATGCCGAGCCTACTTGTTTCCATGAAGGAGTACATGTCAAACTACTCTCAAGAGAAGCCAATGAGGCTAGATAAATATTTTTTTGGAGTGATGTGTTTTTATTTATTTATTATTATTTTTTTTAATTTTTAATTTATCTTTTTTGAGAAAGATTAGCCCTGAGTTAACTACTGCCCGTCCTCCTCTTTTTTGCTGAAGAAGCCTGGCCCTGAGCTAACATCTGTGCCCATCTTCCTCTACTTTATACGTGGGACACCTACCACAGCATGGCGTGCCAGTGGTGACACATCTGCACCCGGGATCAGAACCGGCAAACCCCGGGTCGCCAAGAAGCAGAATGTGCGAACTTAACTGCTGCACCACCGGGCCGGCCCCTCAAATGATGTGTTTTTAATTCAAACTTTGAGTAATAAATAGACCAGGTTCTACTGCTGTTACAAACAACCCCATAATCGCAGTAGTTTAACACAACATGCGTTTATTTCTCACCCACACAGAGTCTGCTGTTGGTCCGTGTGGTGGTTCAGGGATCCGGGCTGCTTTGACCTTATGCCTCCCCTGTGCCAAGCTCCTCAGTGGCTGTGGCAGGTCACAAGAATGACCGGAGACTCCTGCTTGGGCTTTTCACTAATTCAGTCCCAAAATGATAATGCCATTTCTTTCTCCACTTTGTGTCACACGGCCCCAACTAATTACAGGAAGGCTGAGAAGTCTTCTAGTCTTCCCTGTGCCTGGGAAGGGCAGGGGAGGGACTGCCGAGTGTCAGTGAACACCAGAAAGGTCCTCCCCAGAAGAGAAGTAGGAACCATTAAGGCATCTGATCAAGGCCTGCCTAGGCCCTTTCCTGGGGATTTCTGAAAGGCTGGAAGAATTTTGTCCTGGGCTGTAAATGTCAGTTGCTCATTAATTCCTCAGAAATGCCCAGGGCCAAGGTTGCTATTGCTAATAAGATATATTTGTTTGGTTATTTAACAAACCAAAAAAGAATGTTGTCATTTTGCCCTGGTCCTGATGATTCTTTAAACAAATAAGTACTGTCCATTTTATACATCATGTTGCTTATAAGATCTTTTTCTTTTCTATCCAAGTTATGGTTGGGAATAAATCTCTTTGGCGTGAGATATCATCATGGGGTAGTAGTCAACAGTTGTTCTCACAGCCGTTTTGAAACGTAAACAACTAAAAAATGCATTTTAATGTTTATTTTAATAATCTCTTTTTCCCCCCTAGCAACTAATGTGAGATCCGCTGGTCTTGCGTCCTGCAAATTTTCATTTACACTTGGTGTATCCTCTGTCCAATCGTTTTATACAAAAAGTCACAATTATGTAGCTCTTGCCACCTTAA